TGTTCATGTAAGAAAAACTAAAAAATATGTGAGGGGAACAGATTGTATTGTCATTGTAAACTAATGTACACTTGTCTCTCAATAAAAATATGAAAAAAAGGTCATTTCTTTAGCTTTGGGCACAACTGACCAAATTCCCTTTTCTGTCCAGGTTCCTAGAAACAATGATTTTATTTTGGAAAGAATATTTATTATTCCAAAGAGGTCTATTAGGCAATGTAATCACTTGCAACACAATGCTTATTTCTGTGAGTTAAAAATTATAACAGAATTTTTATTTTTCGCAAATACACAACAATGGCTGTATAAATCACACGTTTCACATCTTAGTGGGTGGGTCGCTGACAGAAGTCGCTGTGCACGTGCAGTTGCCAGTCACACGCGCTCCTTAAGTGTCTTCTTTACGTTTTTAAGTGCTACAAGCAAAGCACTGTGCTGTATTGCAAGCGATGTACGAATGGTTCTAATTTTCTATGGTCCAAAAGAAATACTCATTTTCTTTGCTTTTCTGACTTTACTAATGGAACGCGCTCACCTTGAGCAATGACACTCCCACCTCGGACATCCGAGGTAAATTGAACGCAGCTTTACTGACGTTTTTAATAATGTTATTAAATTAAACTACGTTTACATAAAAAACACAAAGAAAAAACAAAAACGGGCTTTTGTCGTGTTTCTCACCTCCGTCGTCTTGTATTTAACAAAGCCCACCAGCCATGATAGCGACTCTAACAACAGTGATGTGTTCGAGGAACCGCATTCCACCTTTTTCCTGGCTCGGATAAAACGGTTCCACAAGCTTGTTTGCGATTTCTCGCCACGATAACAAGCGTTAATCCGTTTGTTCTTGTAAAACTCATGATCGTACAGGTTGGGATAAAGGGCAACCTGCTCAGTCAACTACTTGTCAAAGCCATTCAGAGAGGCTGTGTCTGTTTGGTGTGATGGTCCCGTTTGGGAATTTGTTATCACTCGTTCGTCGAGATTTTTCCTCTTTGGGATGAACTCTGGCAGTAGGTTTCTTTTCCGGTTTAACGGGGCGTCTTTTACCAATCAGCGTTCGATCTGGGCATAGCGTCATCCAAGTCGAGCGACTGCAGGGGAGGACGACAGGTAAGTATTAAAATTTTATTAACGCTTTTAATGTCTTTCTTCATTGTTACCGTCATTCTGTCATTGTTTGTTGGGTTACTTAATTATTTATTCTTTTTTTTTTTCTTTTTTTTTTTTAATTTTACGGCATTTTTCTCTTTCCCCTATATGTTTGTGCATTTGTACATATACAAACCATAATTTATTTATATAGCACTTTAAAAAACAACACATGGCCGACCAAAGTGCTGTACAGCAGAAATACAAGAAAATACAAGAATTCTTGTATTATTACAAGCATAATAAATACAATAAATAAATAATAATATTTTTGTCTTAATTCAGGGGCGATTCTAGGTTTCAAACTTTTAGGGGGGGCTCAGCCCCCAGTCACAATGTCATGCATGTAGTAGTTGTATTTAATATTAATCAAATGTGCCGTCTGCAAATGAAATCATCCCTTTTCAAATTTGCAAACCTCTATTCCATTGGACTATTGAATACCTTCTGTCTAAGAATAATTCAGAGTGAATAATCAGAGATTTCAATACACCCGTTTTAGGGTGGAGCCTTTTGTTGTCAAACCCAAGGCAAAGGCTCAGTCATTAAAGAAGTCCAAGAACTCCCCAAAAGTTGGGGATTTACTTACCTGGATAATTGAGCATCAAGAAGTTAAAGAACTATTTGTGGCAAAGCACATAATTTCAGTCTCAGTCTTCAGTTAACCACATAGAGGCAGTCCTCCAAATCATCATGCACTCAAAGTAGCATTATTCAGTATAGACACTGGAAAATCATAGGCAAAGGAAACTAGTAATAGAGTTGTTTTATTATGTTTTTGAACTTAAAATACAAATCCTCCTTTTGTTATGTAGTCTCAGCACAGAACATCATGTACGATAATTTCAAGAGTGGAGAATAGATTTGTAGTCCATCACATTAATGTAGTGGCAGTTATCATTTTCAGCCATGTTTAGAATGATATGAATCCTGTAAAATGCTACCATTAGTATCAATATGCTCTGTTTATGCTTTGTGTACCACCATTTTTACAGTGTGCTACTGGAAAGCCCGCAAAACATCCATGAAATACCATGGCTCAGTGTCTGAGTGTCTAAATGAGTCTAAAAGAAAGTGTCTTTGGGAATGAACAATCTCCTCAGTCTGGAGCAGGAAAATGACATCAGCGTTTCTCTGAAGCTGCTCCTCTGTCTGGAGATGATGCTGTGGAGTGGGTGTAGTGGATTGTCCAGGATTGACAGGAGTCTGCTTAGCACCCATCACGCTGCCACAATTGTCAGTCTATCCAGCTCCATACCAACAACAAAGCTTGCCTTCCTCTG